TCTTGGATCTCCTTGAGTTAGATTGAAGAATTTATCTTGTAGCACTAATTTGGCTGAAGGAGGAATGAACCAATCTTTGAACACTTTAACATATTATTTTCACTGAATTTGTGGGAGAGGCGCGAGTTGAAATTTTCTCTATATTGCCATGCCACCACCTTTCTGGTTGTCTTCTAACATAAATGTAGCTAGTACTACCTTTCTGTTTTTCGGACAAATCATATCATATGGAATTTTTTTGATTTTCAGGAGTCAATCTTCAACAACTGTAACTCACCCTTGAACTGTCACCCTTGAATGCATCTGGCTTGAAAGATTGAAATACCTTCAAGTGTCGATTCACTTCTGCCTCAGTTTCAGATTTAGGCTCTGTACTGCTGGATGATTTTTTGATAGCAGCTATTTTATCAATTACTTGTGATATCAGCTGGACAATACTCTGTAACTCAGTAGTTCTGACGTCTGCATTTGTTTGGTTCTGATTTTCATTTCTACCTAAAACAATGTCAACTCAAACTTCATGCTTTGCATTTGGCCTAAAAGATTGATTTTCAGCACTTTCTAATTCTTCTCCAGACATGTTTATCTGTATTGACACAATTTATTATTCACATGCAATTTATCATATAATAATTTTATCTTGCACGTGACACCTTAAATCGTAAAGGTTACCCACTACAGATTCATTAACCTACAATTCTGTATAAATCAATTAATATTTAATTTCATTCTTGTTTCTTCTAAATCCAACATACTTTCATCATTCTTTTCATCAAATAACCATGCTTAATCATGCTCTGATACCATTTTCTGTCACACTCGAACAGTCCCCCCTTTTTATGGGTCAGTTGAGGTGCGATAGAGGCTAGCAATTTGGTTAGACTAACTCTAACCAACACTTATCCTGGCTTTTATAATCATGACTCAGTAGGTGATGAATTAATCTAACTGGATCACAACAACATACGTAATACATTGCATTTCAATTATATATTCAGAAGCATGTAAATAAAATCATCCAAATCATGAAAACTATACAAAACCGCTAAATCCATAATAATAAAAATACTTGCCCATAACTTATGTAAAAAGCTCCAAAAACTAACGTACAAAAGTTGTACAAAGACACACCTAACTACTCGCCCTCGTGCTCATTGCCCTTACTTTAACAACAACAACGAATAATGAGCAAAAAATAAGCTCAGTGAAATTATTAGGGCTAAAATAAGATTTTAAACATGAAAAGAAAGTAACGTATGCTCGTATGAAACAATGCATGTCTACATACAATTATAACATACTAGTATACATGAAAATAAAGTAGATATATGTGATTTAAAAAATCAACTGTAGTGTAGCATGCATGTCGTAAACATGAAATCATAAGTATAAACATGTTCATTCATTTCATAGAGGTCATATTATAAGAATGCTATTGTTTAATATATATGTTTCAACTATTTTGTTGTTCTTTCTTAACGGGTCGTCACCCTGCCCTAAAAGCCATATAAGTTATTGATAAAGATTGAGCTTCCCCCAACATAACAGTTATCGACAGCCCCCTTGATGCTATGTCATCGCTTAATTCCAACGGTTCCTATAGTTTCGTCCCCATATAAATATCAGTAGTCGTCCAATACATTCCTGCATAATGTACTTGCAAGCACTCATATAATAGTCGATCCCTTAATATTCCTTGTGATATTTCTTAAAGCATAATACATGTATCAACATTCATCTGACATTTAATAAAACATAATTTCTGCAATCATGTATTTCATATCTCATAAGCATGAATCATGACAAAATAAATACCTATAAACAATTAGTGTCATATGCATAATCATCTGGATCATAAAATAACATAGTATCACATGTAACATAATAAAATTCAACTCGCATTAATAAGTTAATTGCAGGTTATTCATCTATAATATGTCAGAATTCCTAAATGCATCTGTGTTAAACTAGAAATCATATGAAACCTCTAGAAGAGTATTTTCTTACTTTGGCACGAGATTATTTCACCTGATTTGCGGAGTAGCCCTACGACGAGTTTTTATATGCTTGTCTCGAGCTCGTTGTCTCCTGTAGACAACCTGAAGCTCGTAGATAACATAGGGTTTCATAAAATTGGCTCTAAACGTGCATTAACAGAAAAATAAGCATTAATTGTCAAAACATACCTCAAATGAACTGCTTGACATAAATCGCCCTTCTAAAATAGCTAATCTTCTTTCTATCACCTCCAATTTAACTTCCCCTTCACTAAACTCAGGCTTAAATCCTTTTGAAAGCTTGCAAAATGATTACAACACTTTCGAGACAAAATCAGCTCCTCAGACAGCTACTGGAAATGATAAAAACACGAAAAATGAGGCAAACAGCAATACATAAGTGAGACTAAGGAAATAAATGCTTCAATTATCATGAAAAAGAGATTCACATTTATAGAATTTGTCCCCGGAGCCCTAAATTGTGCTTTGAGGCTCCTTGCCTTGTGCTTATGTCGTGGTTGCTACAGTGCAAGTGGTTCTTTGTGGAATTCACAGAGGACTTCACATGCCGAGTCCGAATGGGAAGAGGGAAAGGTTGGGAGAGAAATTAGGCAGAGGGGAGGAAATTGGGGCTCTGAATTGTCCAATTCGACCGATCGAAAGAATAAAAGGTGAAGGAATGTTGGTTGGCTGCAATAATTGAGTGACTAGGAGAAAAAAATTAAGATTTATTTAAGGTTTAATTAAATTAATTCAATTCAATTGTAACTTCAACAATTTATATCTCCCAATCCATTCATTATTCATGCATGGTGCTTTATATTGAATTGTTCGATTTCAAGCATAGAGTTTAATAAAATTATTTCGATCAAATTCCAGGAGGTAAAAATTGTTGGGCTACTTTTAGAAGTTGTTGAAGTTACCCGATTTTTCGAAATTTTGGTGTTACACCGAAGAAGACGAGGACACAAAAGATGAGTGCCGGATTCCAACTGATGAGGGAGAAAAACACATAGTTCAAGTTGAGCCCATTAGTGAGACTCCAACATACATAACATTTGTGGTCCATGACATTTTTATGTTGGAGGAACCGATACCAAATACGTGACAATCCTTGATAAGAGAATTTCAAACTTTTCAAATATATAATCTACTTTTGAGTTATCCCTATGAGGGAGGTTCAACATGTCAGATATGAGACTTTTTTTTGCCACTTTTGGAAGACTATATGGAGTTATTTGGTATTAGAATCAGTTCAACAATGTATTCACCGACAAAAGATTAGACAATATGGATGAATCACAACATTTGAAATCGCCTTAGATCTTTGGGGACAATAACATTTTACAGTGGGACCCAACTCTTTCCAAGAAGGAGAGACCTCTCCTGAGTTGTTAAGCTTTAGTGTGGCCAATCTGCCATAGTTGTCATTTAGGGTTAATTCTTCCTTGCAGACTTATTTATCAAATACATCCAACTGAGTACAAGGAGTGGGAGAAACATATTATAGATTTACTTGCTCGTGGGAGTCTACGATGATATGCAACTCCATCTAAAGCTAGGTCAAATGTGGATTGATACTTATTCTATTAGCATGTGCTTTGGGATAATAACGTCTACAGGATTGACGTACCAACAACTTGCAATAATTTCGCTACCTTCAATAGGGTCGACTTGACTACCATGAGTAGATAAAAGCTTCGATAGATGAAGTTGAAGCTCTCGCAACCCCGGGAGACTGGCACAAGCGTCAACTTAGGAGGCACAAAAGTGCCAAATAGTCGATGTGGGAGTCGAGTCCCGCTCTTGGAGCGCACCAGTCTAGCATTCTAATGGGCTGATTGGCCCTCCAAGCCAGTGAACTGTCATCTAGTTGGAATGGGGCCACTTCTTAGTTGTCTAGGGCTTATATAGTTGGATTTTGTGTTTCGATTTTTCAGTTTTTGATTGCATTTCTTTCAGGATAGTCGTCGGAGTCCTCTATTTTTCGGTCTAGGGTTGTATCCAAGGGCGAGTGCTGCTCCGACTGTATCTCGTTCTGAGCTGGTGATTCTCCTTTAAGGGTCGAGTGGTGCCCTAGCTGTTTCTTGCTCCCGAGCTGGTATTTATCCTTGACTTACCCTGTCCTCCACAACCATCCCTCCACCTCCACCATCGCCATAACTGCTGCAACCATCTCCTAGGATAACACATTTGTTGTCGCCTGCAGCCCCCATATTTCCCTTCCGCCCGTCCTAACCACCTACCAGCCTTCCAACCCTTCTACCTTGCAGCCGCCACCCCACCCTTCCAGATTGCTGCCATCGCCCCTATCCTGCTTCCCCCTCGCTGTTGCTGTCCCCAAACAGAAAATTACTACTGTTGGAAGTGTTGCAGTTATTTCCATTTCCTCTTGTGGTTGTAACCGCGGCTTGTCTTTTTTAGTAATAATAGTTGTTTTCTTATTATGATTTGGGTTAACTTCAGTAACTGAATGACATGAGATTTAGCATTGGAAGGAAAAATGTTGGTCATCATTGCTGTTGGCTCTGCATCTTCTCTGCCATACTGTCTAGCTTATAATACAATTTATCTTTTTTTTTTCTTTTCTGTTATTGCAGAGAAAACCATTTACAGAAAATTGAACTTCTTGTCTTCTAGTCGGTTGGTTGGTTTGTAGCCCTAGCACTAGCAACTTTCACGGGGAGTTTTGATAGGTGGTACAGATGAAAGTTTATCATTAGCTCTTGCTTTTTGCTGGATGCACTTATGCCAGCATGCATGTTATTTTGTCGAGAAATGTATCATTGACCGCATGATTCTTTTTGAAACATCTAGCTTTATGAGAATTCATTCCGCCACATATTCAGCTATTTAACATCGATATTCTGGTTCTTTATACCAAGTCCTTAAACTGCCAACGCTTGCTAGATTTAAGTTAGCTACTTTGGTGGCTTAAATTAATTATAATTTTCTTAGTACTTGCTTAAGTGAATCGATTTTTATGAGTATCAATTTTTGTAGGTTATTTTTGGTCTCACTAGCTGGAATATACCTGGGTCTGCTATATGGTTTGTATGTACCAGATTGGCAATTTGAAGTTCAACAGTCTGTTCTGTCAAATGTTTATAGGAATGATACTTATATTATTAAAAAGGTCAGGCAAGTGTAAGTTTCTTATGCTCTTTCATTGGTTACACATGTGATGCATAAAATTTACATGTTTTCAAATTTCTAATGAGTTTCTTAAAATTGATGTTTTTCCTTTTGCTATATTCTTCCGTGGTGTAGTTCTATTATGTGCTTGAAAATTTGTGTATCGAGATTGATTGCTTCGAAAAGTTCTAGTCTTCCACATCTTAAATAACAAAAGAGGGCTTGCTAATTTTCTGGGCTAGTATGGGCAGGACCCAAACTTACTCTCACTAGATGAAAGATTATTGGTTATATTACAAAGGTTGCTAATGGTTTGTGTGCTTGCTTGGCCCCCTGTTATTTGTGATGTATGCTACCATGGCGTGATTGCCTGATTTCAACTGCTAATAAATAATAAAATCAATAGAAATCATTATATCTGGTTAGGTATGACAACTTTGAAAAGGATAGATTCAACTGAGGGTTGTTTGTCATACCCGATTTTGACCCTCCCTCTCAGGTCAAGCATAAGCCGTAATAGAGGTGGATATTATACATATTGTCTAACAAACATTTATTATTATTTTACCAACATGGATTGAGTAATTAGAAATTAGTTTGTCCAGATCATCATAGAACATATATTGATGTTCAGAATCATTCAAATAGCTTAATTAGAATTATTAATAAGTGTATTATTTAAATCATCAATATGGACAGAAAATACTTACAAAAAATTTTGTAGAAATTTATATGTATCAGAAGTACTTTTAATCTCTATCATTCGATCTTTCTTTACTTACAAAAAATTTTGTAGAAATTTATATGTATCAAAAGTACTTTTAATCTCTATCATTCGACCTTTCTTTTATAATATATCAAAAAATGTTCAGCAATGTTCTAGGATACAGGATAAAATAATTTCACATGATTATGATCTTACGTGCTCCTTTCTCTTACCTGAAAAATAGTAACATTTTACCCGATAAACTTAAAGTATAGGAGATAAACAGTACAAATACATGATTAAAAATATAAGACGAAGAAATAATAACATGAAGATGATCTTTGAATTAATCGGAGCATCATAAATCAAAGACATGACTAATTTAGTGCATCAATTTTAAAGCAAGACAATTTTTTATAATTCCATAAATAAAATACAATCATGAACAGTACACATACCTGCAGCAGACAGGGATGCACTCCCGGGATCGAACATGAAGTGGGAAGTCCCGTGACGGAAGCGTCTCCAGATTTGTACCTGGACCTAAGTTGTTAAGTTTTTTTTTCAATGCTCTGGAATTGGGCAATCCCCTTGGGCCACTTTTCGCTATCATCTTATTATATATTTGCTTATCTGATGTTCTAGGTTTAGGTTTTGGTGTGAGCTTGTTTAGGGCAGCTGCCACAGTCCGCTTCTCTTTTCGAGGGCTGTATTCAAAAGTGTGGGTTGTGCTGTGAATGTATCTCACTCATGAGATGGTGATTATGATTCTCCTAACCTTCTGCAACATTCCTGCATCAATCCCCACCATCACTTCCCTGCTGCAGCTGCTGGAACAGCAGTTTTTGTGTTGTTTCTTGTAGCTCCAATTCCAGCCACCTCCCTCCCTTCCCAGGCTTGCTGCCGCCCAACACAGCAGGCCTCCATCCTTCCCCAACCTTCCTGCCTCGCTTCCCGCCTACTTCCTTCACTGCCGCCGCCCGGAACTGTCTTTCAATCTGCTGTTCTGCTGTTCCAGCCTTCATTTCGATTTACTGTTGCTTGGACTGCATCATATCCTGCGGCCCTTGCATCCTCCACTTGCCACCCCTTGCCACAACACCCTTTCCCCGCTCTGCCGTCATCCGGAACAGCCATCCTACTGTTCACTGGCCTCTCCCAGCCGCCCCAATACCAGCCCCACATATGCCCCTACTTGTTGCAACCGCCACCCTCTCACTTTTTTCCCACAATTCTAGCCACCTAACACCCCTTTCCAATCCTTCTAGCTGACCACCACTATTCCATGATCGGACCGCAGTGTGAGTTCATGTGTCGCGTTGTTATATTTGCCTTTCAAGTATATTAGTTTGTAACAGTTTATTTATTTTCAGTAATAATATTAGATTTTCTTAGTGTTGCTTTGATTAACCCCGCTATCAATACCAGTATGCAAATATAGAAAATGAATCATTTAAAACTTATTATCTAACTAAGATAGATGATTACTGGATTTATTTTTATTTGTCTCACTTTTTTTTTTAGTCTTAGAACGATCGTATGATGTTTATTAGGCTTGTGGCATATTTATATCATGAGATTGAAACCTTGTCTGTTTGTTTACCATTTATCAGTGTCACTACTCTTTAAGGTTGAACCTTAAATTCCAAATGGATCAATGTATTTAGATGCTATGTCCATCAAAGGGTTGAGATTTATCTATGTGGGTTCACAACACATGGCATGGGTGTCACAACTCGACGCGAGAACTTTAAACTTCCAAGTTGGGAATAGATTGCTGACTGATGAAATTAAAATCTTCAATTATCCATTTTCTACACTAACAATTTACAATTCAAATAAAATGAATGAGCCACTAAAGGAATTAATTTAATTTAATAATGAATATGTTTATCTTTTTTGTTTGTTGCTCTCGTCTTCTTTACACATTCTCTATTACAGTGCTTATCTTCTATTTAAAAGCTTAAACTTGCAATTTATTAAAATAATATAATAAGTTATTGAAGATAACCCAAAGGAGCAATTACACTTTAAACTACAGTAACCCTAGAATAAAGAAAATAATATATATGATTGTCTTTTTTATCATGTTATAGAAAAATCCTGTAAAAATCTAATAAATGTATGCATGTTATTTGCTCATAGAAGCAATCTATAATTCTATATGCATTAACTTTAGGTTTATTTCTTTTTTCAAAGTTTAATCTTTAACTTTAGGACACTTCATACTATTAACTCACATCTATCTCAAGAGCACTGTCTAAATATAACCTAACATATGCCTGATCAATAAATTCCTTGGCACAATGGGGTGCAAAATATGTTCATTATTGTCTGAGGTGGAAATGTGTCTACTCACCCCTGACTCATATTCTCTCGTTAGCACAATAGTTCGTAATCTAAATTACTCTATTGTCTGAAGTGATAGAAAAACATATACGCTCGCTATTTTGTTGGCATTCCCTGCCAGTACCATAAGGGGGTCAACTTCTCTTCGTATTCATATATACATTATTTTCTTATAAGATACTTTGTATTCATCTACTAATGAATAAATGCAAATCTCTTAAAATCTAAAAGTACTGTAATAATCTAATATATGCATATTACTAGAATCTAAATGTCATGCAATAATCTAACATATGCATTTGTACTAGAATCTAAATGTCACGCAACAATCTAATAAATTTCTAAAAAACTTACTATGAAACTATTTAACATGCATAATTGTCTGTCTAACAATATGAAAAATCTGTTGTAATTTAAAACTAGATTATACATGAAATGAGGAATACATATAAAAATAATAAATATTACTAAAATTTAAATATATAATTATTTACCTTAATTTCACTTTGAAAGCTTGGTTCACAAGATTTGCTTTATGTTTCTTGTCACTTCTGCTTACTTTGATACTAATTAACTTATAAATTACAAAAATTCAAATATATGTTTCTTGAAACTATAATTAACCAAATTCTTTAATTATCTTTGCTTACATTTAATATGTTAAAGTTATACTTAAAATCCTCTTTTAACGGAAAGAGTATTATTTTAATCTACTCAAACTAACAAATAGCTTTATCATAATATTTTCATTTGCCCTAAAAATTATTGTTCTTGTAAATTTAATAAAATAAAGCTTTTATTTATTATTTATTTTTTCTATCATCATATTCATTTAAATTTTAAATAACTTAAATTAATGTGAGTAGCTTACATTAATTTAAATTTAAGTTCATTTACTTTATAATAACAGTATTTACTAATTTTATCACTTCCTAGAATTAAACAAATCATATAATAATTTGCAATCATTTTAAAGTCTTTATCTTATATTTAATTGCTCCTTTATACTAGTCTCTAATTTGATTAATTACTCACATGTAGGTTATTTGGTATTAAGAATTATGCAAAAAATTTACATAAATACATCAAAATTCCTCTTTCATTTAAACATTTACTTAATCAAAATAAACTTTAATTAAATTAACCAATACAAAGTTTTACCTTCAAAGAAAAGATTTCAGCTTGACTGCCGTCGACCGTTTTAACTTCGTAATTTGAAAAATTGATGATTTTGTGATTTTGAAAATAATTCAAATATGAATATAACCTTTTTTATTTTTAAAAGTAACATTTTAATTTTAAAATAGGTGAGACCAACATTTTTATTTTTGAAAGTAACATTTTTATTTTTAAAAGTAACATTTTATTTTTAAAAGTAACATTTTAATTTTTATTTTTAAACCTGTTTGGTCTCACATTTTAAATAATTTAGATGATTGAATACAATACTACAAGTAATATACTTATCCCGAAGAATAAATATATCATTTGTAATAGGAAATCAATCACCCAAACTAAAAATTTTGTGACATCCGTTTGGTCTGCGAAATATTTTATATGAGACCAACAAGTTTCCCTACCTAATATGAGGATTAGATAGGGTTTATTTTACCGGGGTTCCAAGTTCCCTATAGAGGTAAGCCCCTATAGTTAATTATATCTTAAATGACTTGGGTCACTTAAGAAAACTCTCGATTAAAATCAGTGGTTTTGCTTTCAAGATTTTCATCGAGTTTATCAAAGTTTAGGATATCCAAGGTAGGATATGAGAAAATCTAACGTGAGTGGCTCAAATAGGAACACTTATTTAAGGAATCCTCGATTAAAATCAGTGGTTTTGCTTTCAAGATTTTCAAAGTTTAGGATATCCAAGGTAGGATATGAGAAAATGAACACTTATTTAAGGAATTACACTTATTTAAGGAATCCAAAGGGATGAAAAGTAT